CAGGGGTGACAGTCCCTGCTGGGCTCAGGGGTGACAGTCCCTGCTGGGATCGTGTTCTGCTCGGATCAGTGCGGGCACAGCACTCGGCTCCCTGGGGCAGCCCTGCTCTGGGAGATAACAGACCTGGCTCCAAGCAAGCCTGGAAATCAYCCTGAATTTAGGGTGAGGAGATTCTGGAGCAGGGGAAGCACAAATAGCTGGAAAAAGCTTTGGCTGACCCTCACTCCTACCCCATCTGTGGGTCTGGGTTTGGTTTGGGCAGTGCTGATTGTGCCCACGACAAAACTGAGCACCGCTCCCTCCTACAGCACAGACATGAAACGCTGAGGAAAGAGCAGATGAAGGGATTTTTCCACATTCCCAGAGAGAAGGTCCCACAACCTCTGTAGCCCCAGGACAGGATGGGCAGGGCTTGGAGCCACCTGGTCTGGTGGAAAGTGTCCCTGCCCATGGCAGGGGGATAGGACTGGATGTCACTAAAGTCCCTTCCAGCTCAGACCATTCCATGATTCCGTGACAGTCCAGAGCCTGGGGCATYGTGGAGGTTTGGAGGAGGGACCTGCAATCCCCATCCCACTGGGACTGCAGACACAGCACAAGTGAAATCCTGTGCTGATTTCAACTGCTGCAAGGGGATGTTGAAATCAGAAACCATTTACCATACGTTATCTCCAAGCAAACGGTGCTAAAATGCTGATGGGGRTGGAAGCATCTTGTTTCGGTTATTAAAACACTGAATTTCTGTGGAAACAGTGGCTGTTTGCCAAAGGGAAGAGCTGCAGAATTAGCTCTGACATGAAAAATGTTCAAGGCACGTGGTGAGGTTTTTTAGCTAAGAAGTGGAAATGGTTTCTGGTGGGAGCAGGGATCCCAGGGAACGTGTCAATGGAACCCTGGAAGCACACGGTGGCTGCAGCCTGGAAAGCAGAGCTGGTGGAACAGCCCGGGAGCTGCAGGTGGGATGGATGGATGGATGGATGGATGGATGGATGGATGGATGGATGGATGGATGGATGATGGATGGATGGATGGATGGATGGATGGATGGATGGATGGATGGATGNGATGGATGGATGGATGGATGGATGGATGGATGGATGGATGGATGGATGATGGATGGATGGATGGATGGATGGATGGATGGATGGATGGATGGATGGATGGATGGATGGATGGAGAGAGACAGCGTTATCTCTGTGCTCTGCTCCAATTCCCTGCCAGGCAGGACTTTGCCATCGCAATCCACACGCACCTGCTAAAGTTCTGCTCCCAAATTCCATTCAGGATCAGCGTGAGGACAGCAGAGATTACACCCCATCCTCCGATGGCATCGCTGGTCCCCATGGGTGGGGTGGGGGGAGATCAGGAACAGCCCCAGCCCTGCAGGCTGGGAGCTCATGGAGCTGTGCCTGTGCCTTTGTCAGCAGCATGGAAATAAAGAGGAGAAAGATTTGTCCTTCTTGAGAGAGTAACACTGACCCAGCCTGTGGTTTTCTTTGCTAAATTCTCTGCAGATAGAGTTTCTGAGAGGTCTGAGTGCGGGCCCAGGAATACAGAGAAGAGAGAGAAGGAAGGGCCTTATCCTGTAATCAAAGAATCCCAGAATAGTTTGAGTTGGAACAGACTGTAAAAATCACCCAGTGCCACCCCTGCCATGGCAGGGACCCCTCCCACTGTCCCCAATGTCCAGCCTGGCCTGGGCACTGCCAGGGATCCACAGCTGCTCTGGGCACCCTGTGCCAGGGCCTTACACCCCACAGGGAACAATTCCTGCCCAAAATCCCATCCATCCCTGCCCTCTGGCACTGGGAAGCTTCCCCCGTGTCCTAACCCTACATGCCATTGAAGAACATCCAATTTCAATGCAGTTTGAGCTATCAGATCTTGCTTTTTGGTTGGTTTTTTTTTTGGGAGGATTTACCTCTTCTGAGACATTTGTAGTGCAGATCCCAATCCCACTGAGTCTCTGGAGTCCCCAAGGAGAAGAGGGGTCTCCAGGACCTCACGTACCTTACCTCAGAGCTTCCACAGGCTGCTGCTGATGTCCCAAAGCAGTGGCTGAGGTGTTGGAYTCTCTGACCCAGTGTGGGGTGGAGCATTGCTGTTCCAGCCATCCTGAATGGGCAATGAATGCCAGGAGCTGAGCCCATCTCCAGTGATGCTGACACCGGGCCCAGAACCCTCATTAACAGAGASAAAACTCATCAGCAGGTGCCATCATCTCATTAGAAATCCCTCCCACCTTAC